TCTTTTTCTCTCTATTATTTCGGTCTATGTTCTTCGTGAAAAATTGTTCTGTTTCACTGGCTAAAAAATAATCCTTTGAAATATATTCCGCAATTTACACCTAATAACATAAGTAAGTACTTATTTAGGTACCTACCTAGGTTTAACGCGCCCTTGCCTGATCTTTTAAAAATCGCAATGTGTGTGTTGTCAGATTGGATTGAACTCACGGTATACCTAGCTACCTATTTGCCGGAGATGTAAATTTAAATAAAACATTTAAATGACAGATTTTTTTGATTCCATATTTTTATCAATAAAATACAAAACCACTTACTTTCTTAATATCCTCAATTTGTTCTCTTCTCGCTTGACCAAGTCTTCTATGTGATTGACAACCAATTTGTGTGTACTCAATAGAGGCTCAATATCTGATGTCGCCGTGAAAACCTCCCCTTGCGACCATGGCGGTAGAACACATACTAATATAACACACCCTATGCTTAGGTATGAAACCATGGTAGCGGCGGCGCCTGAAACATCGAAATAAAGACTTTTTTTTCGTTTAGATATTAGTGTAATAAAATGAAAATGCCTTCTAATTGACTTAAACCTTGAAAAATATAAGATTTTACATAAGCAAAAATAAAGTATAAATTGGGTTTATAATTACCAGTTAATCCAGGTACAACACAGCAACAATTGATACCCAATAGAAAATTACCAGATGTTTTTACTCAAGATAATTTCACGCGGCAATAAAACTTATAATTCGATCGCCTTCTTAACTCATCTGCAACGCAATGCTAAAACACAGGCGCTCGATGCACAAAGTGGTAAGATTAGCTTGCGCTCGACTAGCAATTGCATCTATACGCTGCTGCAATGCTACAGCGAACTTAATATTTAATCATTGAAAGAAGATAGGTAAGTAAACATATCATACAGAGTCATAAAAGATAAAAAATATGGGGCAGACCTATATCTATATCTAACAGCAGACGTTTCACAGCTGTTGCTGATGATGACGATGAATCCCCTGTATAGTGGGTATACAGAGTGACAGTAAAAGTACCGTGTTTCGTTGAATCACTAGTAAAATCCATATGATTTTACACCCACAAAGAACTCGTGGTCGATGGACAAGCGTATTAAAAAATATATAAAAATCATTCATTACATTACATATCACACAAACTTTTTTTCTGATAATGGTGCAACCCTTCTTCAAAACACGACATAGCGCGCCGCTACAGTCAAGATCAGTTGGCATAGCCATTGTGGCATAGCAAGGGCATAGCTCATATTGCATGCCATACGAACAGTACAAAGCTGCCTGAGCTGTACTTGACTAATTAAAAATTTACACGGAAAATTGTATGTAAGATTTAAACTCGCTTAACATACTTCATTTAACTTGTAGCAGAACGCCTGATTTAAAGGAGCGCAGTACTTTTCCTAACACCCTGTATAATATCATTGGATGTACCCTGCTGCTAAAGGTAGGTAACCCCAGTTGAGGGTTGGTGGCAATGGGTAATAAGGTGACTACTGACTAGGGTGTTAGCGTTCGATTAATTCAATCAATTCTAATTCTTATTTTGATACTCATTTCCAAATAAAGTGTGAAATTGTACTAGTGACCGATAGCGAAAACTCAGAACCGGCTGATGACTAGGAACAACTTTCCCCAATGAACATAGGTCGAAATACGAAAAAAGAATTTGGACCTCCCATACAAAATTGCCGCTCAGCTGATTTGAGTTAGGTACCTACTATGGGAGGTCAAATTTATTTTTCGTATTTCCACCTATGTTCCTTGGGGAAAGCTGTTCTTTATCACCAGCCGGTTCTGAGATTTTGCTATCAGTCGTAAAATTTCACCGTATATACAGGGTGTAAGGGACGGTGTACCGAAAACTTTGCAGGCATAATGTGACCATGAAATTGGACAACTTTTACTATGGAGCCAATGTTGGTCCCATCAACTCATACGGTCCCGTACAATGCAATGTTATAGCTACGTGCACGTCACGTATACGGATGCGGTGTATGGCGATTGGTGCCCTTTATGGTAAATTTTTATTATGTACAAATATTTTAAGGGCGCGTTCTACACACAAAACTAAATAACTTTTATTAGAAACTGTTCTTGAAATACAAACATGTTAAAAAGTGTGTCACTTATGTAGATCCAATATATTTCGTAAAAAAAAATCTTGTTATATGGTAATGTGGAATCGAGACTACCTACCTTCATACCAACCAATAGCACATACAATTGACCTTCATAATCATAATAAACAATTAAGTATGGTTAATGTAATTTATTCCAACATTTGCGGACAGCGAAGACGACGTCAGAGGACAAAACATTTGTATCAATATATTACAAAACAAAAGCAAACACCAAATTATGTAGAAAGATTTATGTTTTAATTACCAAATGAAAAACATACCTGAAATTATGCCGAATTTACAAAGGTGTGGCAGTTTTTTCTTCATTTTCATAAAAGCCTTATCAACGTAATTAATTAGGTACCTAGTTTACATTTCATACATTTTTACCCGACTGCCTCAGGAGGGTTATGTTTTCGGAGTATCTATGTATGTGGACAAGGAAATTTCGTTTTCACGGGCTAAGCCTATGACGGATTTTGACATATAAAAAGTCGTTAGATTCGTCTCAGCAGCGCGAGTGATATCATTATATTAGTTTCATAAATTCAAAATAGCAGATTTCCAACGTAAAATTTGAAATTACTGCAGACGGTTTTTTAAATATTTAATAAATTAAGCTTATCATGGAAGTGTTAGTTATGTAACTAAAGCTTATGTTTTAATTGTTACAATAAAATCGTATCGTACATTTAAAAACACTGTATCTACCTACATACAAATCTATAATCATTATAATGTTCATTTCATTTGGGAAGTCTTTAGATTCACATTCAAACATCCCACGTTTATTGCGGGGTAGGCAGACTGATTACAAAAAATTGTGGTCACTTTTGTCACGTTGACAAATATATAAGAAAAATCATCGAAAATAATAAAAAATAAATAAATTTATGATTATAAAAATACCAATAATAAATCTCAACTTGATGCTTATGCTTAGTTTAATTAATAATAACTTATAAATTCTTTGCTTAAATTCTATCACTAGATAGGTATATGAACTGGGTTTCTGTTGGCTTACCTACTTATAGTTATTTAAAGTATACCTACAGTACAGAAACGCTTTCTAAAAAGACATGTTAAAAAAACAGATCTTAAGTCATAGCACTAACAGGACGCAGCTGTCAATAATGCCATATTAACCATGTTTGGTAAATGGATTGACGAGTGCAGCCCAGGCTAGGCCATCAGAAGCGCACAGTAAAAAAAAGACTGTATTGACCGGGTATTGACGTTATTGGTGTTATGTCGGCTTGGAAAAGCGTCACCCCTTTTTTACCCATGGAAGTTGTAAAAGGAGGATAAGGAATGAATTCAGGGAAAAAATAGGAGCTTTCCCTCTGAATATCTACACCTGTACTGCACTCGCCAATCCGTTTGGCAAGTGTAGTGATGGTCAGTGTGAGTATGACAAAATTGACAGCTGCCTAAATCATGCATGTTCTTGTGCTATGATTATGACACATCTATTTTTTTTAACGTGTCTTATAGTGTGGAGTTGCATCTAACAAAATTATTTTTTGAAGTGGTTACACTGTAAGTACAATGCAGATATGTTATAAAATGGCGCGTTAAAAAAGCGCTAGATATATACCATACCTACCTAAGCTTATAACGGTCGTAAGTGTACATTTATTACAATCTTTAGATTCAATTTATCTAATGATATGCATCAATACCTACAAAATTTAATATGTATGCGCTTTGTCTCCGCCTGTCGTGGTATTCGCTAACTCAAAAAGCACGCAACGGATTATGATGCGGTTTTTTGTAACATATAGAGGAAAGTTTATACGTATAACACATGCCGGAAAATGCCTTTTCCCCGCGGAAAATGAGTAGCATTGTTAACGAACCGCTAGTGCTTAATAAATGCACTAACGATTAATTTTGTAATTAAACTGTCACATCACAAAGCCTGTCGCGGTTGGATTACTAACTTAGATTATTTGGTTATCTAGATTTAAATATTACATATTGTCAAATAGGCAAGGGCTTCAGCTTCTTTAAATCTCATTCGGTAAACTCTTTGTGACAAATTTTACATACATGAAGATATCAGCATATATATATTAGGTGATGAAATTTTACTACTTACTATTTAGTGACCGATAGCGGAAACTCAGAACTGGCTGGTGATAAAGAACAACATTCGTCGAAAAATGAAGAAAAATAATTGGAACAATCCGCTGATCGACCATTTTGTATGGGACCAAAATTTTTTTTGAACTTTAGACCTATGTTTCTTGGGGAAAGTTGGTCCTTATCACCGGCAGGTTCTGAGTTTTCGCTATTGGTCACTAGCAAAATTTCCTCTTTATACATAGAATACATTACACAAATAGTTTTCACAGTTAGACCTATATTCCTTGGAAAAAGACGTTCTTTGTCATCACATCATCCTTCCTTTAGCATCGGTCACTCGTTTTCACCTTATATACTCAGAAACTGATGCTATAGTCCATCCGCTATCATAGTGTCATGACCGATTATTGCGACCAGCGTAACTTGGCCTCACGCTTAGATGACACTATGATAGCGGATGGACCTTAATCAACTATTTAGCAGTCTTGATAAGAGATTCAGGTTATCTCAGAGTATTTGAACATCCTACTGGCTGTCTATCTGAAGGACTTTGGCACTGGGCTGAGGATCTTCCGAAGAGTGTCTTCAGGCTGGTACTCCAGAGAACATGGCTTGATCAGCTCCTGCCCGCCTTGGTGGATCCACTTGTTTGACACTGTAACAAACGTTTTAAATTAGCAACATGTTCTTGAATCTAGATCGTCGCTTGGAGACGAGCACCAAGAGATAGAAAAATTTGGCCGTCATCTACCGGTGCATCGATAGCTTAGTGGCAGAGCGTTGGGGCTGCTGGGGAGCTGACCTATGCGGCCCGGGTGCGAGCCCCGGTCGATGCATGACAAATTTTTCAATTTCTTATTTTCATTTATGCCTGTGTTAAGTTTTATTATGGAAAAGCCCATCTGCTTAGATAGTGTCAGTGCACTCTAACGTACCTACTAACAGGTCGTAATTGCAATAAATTAAACACAACTTGAGTATGTAAGTAAATATTATTTTGTAATCATTCAAACACAAACAAAAGAGGTATCTTTGAAAGTGATCTCAAATAAAAAAAAACCTTAGTTATTTTTACAAAAAGAGCAAAGTTTATTTTTGCTACAGGCCTAATATGAATCCCGAGGTAACGAAGGACACTCAAATGGGCCTTTGGGGGAACTAAAAGGCAAGATGACGTTGTACGCTGCCATAGACTAAAATGCAATAAGTGTCAAAATTTTAAAGCTAATCCGTTTAAGTCCATCTCGCGAATTAGTTTCTCCAAAAAAGCAAGCGAGCAAAAATAGTATGCTGAGCTTAGTGAGGGATTCAAAAGTACGAGTTGCTTTTAAATTAATTTGCTCTCGTGTCATACGCACAACTTTTCACCTCTACCAGTGAATATGCAGAAGCGTGCGTTCACCTTTACTTCAGTTTATGGCACTTGTATACTTACTCTGTGCCAATGTCAAGTAAAAATATAATAACAAGGGAGGGTAAATAATTTCACTTTCGTTACTAGTGAGATGTTCGAAATTTAAATCACTGTGATTAAAAGTGACTTTTCTACACTGATTTTTCGCGGAAAATCCATCGAACTAATATGAACTTACGTCCTAGAAGCGCTGGTACTAACAAAAGCCGGAGCAGCAAGCGGGGGGTTGGGGGGTCCACGGGGGGAAGTTATGAAACAAAGATTCGATGTCGCCGTCATAGACGCGACACTTCGTTTATATTTTTCCTTATGTAGGTTTAGTACAAGTTTAATACCTACGGTGACGTTGTAAAATAAATTAAATTATGCTTGTTATTCATCGATACCTAATAATTCTTATACCGGATGCAAGAGATGGTGCACCAAAAACTTTAGGACCTTTATTCGGGATTTATTCTTTCGAGTTTCATTCAACTGAATGGGAATATATATTTTACCTACAGTAGATCTTTTTCATTTACCTAGTAATACCGCTTACATATAAAAAGTAGTTGTTTTATAGCAGAATTTTTAGTACACTGTCTCTTACGTCCCATTATACCTTAAAACAAAATAAGCATTCCCAACAAAAATCGCAGTTTTCGTCATCTTTACTGAAGATTTTCTTTGTTACAGAAGACAATAATTTTCTAATCTAAATAGTGTATATTAATATTACATTTCGCTATGAAAGGAAATATCAACTTACACTACCTACGTAGGTACATTTTGTTGCGTACACAATGAAACTTCTGAATATTTCATCTATGACAAATGACGCAACATGGCGTCTACGCTAAATATTATTTTCGAATAAAGTTTTCAAATGATTTTCTAGCTACTCATCGATAAAAACTTATTCCTCTGCACTTAGAAGTGTTCATTGCATTATTATTGCAATATCGTAATACGCACGACGGCATTTTCAGAAAGATTTCGTGAGATTTTGTATAAAAATCAGCTCAAAACAAACGAGACCAACAAGCTTCAAGGCTAGCAACAAACTGAGTGTGCTGGGCCTACTTGGATCCAGTGGATTGAAACTCCGTGGTGGAGATTGGTGTCCGCTCTATAGTAATAGACCTCGTTGGGAAAATCTGATGATATTTTCAAGCAGGAAATGCGAAGGCTTCTTTACATACCCCATTTAGATCCTCTTAGCACTGGTCAGGCGGCGTGGCGGGTAGAAATGTCCCCCTCTCCTGAAGGGTGCAGGTTCATCCAATACAGTTCTGCATTCTTCACAGGAAACTTACACACACACATACCTCACTTGCAACCCCTCAGATACATACCCCACTTAGAGCCACTTAGTACAAGGCATGCGATTCCCTCTCCTGAAGCGTAGCGTTGGACGCCTACGGGTCAGATGGACCAATCCGCAAGTAGCGTATGGACGGCAGAAACGGGAGATCATCCCTTGAGTTGTACTCTCTGGGAAGGTTTTCGATCAGCAGTCCCCCTCTCCTGAAGGGTGCAGGTTCATCCAGTATAGTGCTGCATTCTTCATTGGTATACATACCCCACTTAGAGCCTCTTAGCACTGGGCAGGCGGCGTGGCGGGTAGAAATGTCCCCCCCTTCTCCTGAAGGGTGCAGGTTCATCCAATATAGTGCTGCATTCTTCATTGGAATACATACCCCACTTAGAGCCTCTTAGCACTGGGCAGGCGGCGTGGCGGGTAGAAATGTCCCCCTCTCCTGAAGGGTGCAGGTTCATCCAGTATAGTGCTGCATTCTTCATTGATATACATGTCGCAGTACGATGGCAGAATTAGGTTTTTGGCCAAAAACCTAGGTTTTTGGCCAAAAGCCGGCATATGGCAAAATCGTAGACTTCTTTCGGTCATCGTCCTAAGCTGATCCAGGTTTTTGGTCAAAAACCTAGGCATTTGGCCAAAAAACTAGGATTTTGGCCGAAATCCTAGATTTGTTTAGTATTATGGCTTTTTTGCATTTCGGGGGAACTTTTTCTTCTTCGAGTGGTACCCAACGACCCGATGAACCCTGGTGTTAGAGTTTTTAAACCACCTACTGCAAGGAGCAGGCCTCTGACATGGTTGTGTAACGACTGCCATCTTAAGTGATCATAAAGAGCAATCGGGACCGACGGCTTAACGTGCCCGACGTGCCCGTGTAGTTTGGGCATACACCTTGAAAGGCAGGAGGTAGCATTGGACGTTCTGGAGGGTGGTAGGTAGCGTCAGACGCTCTGGAGGACGTGGGTAGCGTCGGACACTCTGTAGGATGTACGATGACGGGCGTTGGATTTTCTGGGGGTCCGACACTACCTCCTGGTCTCCAGGGCGTCCAACGCTACCACCAATCTTCTAGAGCGTTCAGTGGTACGTCCTGCTCTTATGGTGTCTGATGCTTCCCCCTGCTCTTCAGGGAATCCGAGGCAATCCTGCTGTTCAGACTGTCTGATATTACCCCCCAACCTTCAGGGTGTCCATTTACGGTGTCCAAGTCTACCCTCAAAAGATCAGAGGGAGGTGCATAAAGTACCTCTCTATTCCTCGTTCCCCCGAACCACACGGGCACGGTAAGCCGTCGGTCCCGATTGCTCTCTATGATCACTTAGACGGCGGTCGTTACACAACCATGTTAGAGGCCTGCTACTTGCAGTAGGCGGTTGAAAACTCTGATACCAGGGTCCATCGGCTCGTTGAGTGACTTAGTGTACCACTCGAAGACGAGGAAGTTCCCGCGAAATGCAAAAAAGCCATAATACTAAACAAATCTAGGATTTCGGCCAAAATACTAGTTTTTTGGCCAAATGCCTAGGTTTTTGGCCAAATGCCTAGGTTTTTGGCCAAAAACCTGGATCAGCTTAGGACGATGACCGAAAGAAGTCTACGATTTTGCCATATGCCGGCTTTTGGCCAAAAACCTACGTTTTTGGCCAAAAACCTAATTCTGCCATCGTACTGCGACATACATACCCCACTTAGAGCCTCTTAGCACTGGGCAGGCAGCGTGGCGGGTAGAAATGTTGCCCTCTCCTGAAGGGTGCAGGTTCATCCAGTATAGTGCTGCATTCTTCGTTGGTATACATACCCCACTTAGAGCCTCTTAGCACTGGGCAGGCGGCGTGGCGGGTAGAAATGTCGCCCTCTCCTGAAGGGTGCAGGTTCATCCAGTATAGTGCTGCATTCTTCACAGGAAACTTACACACATACCTCACTTGCAACCCCTCAGATACATACCCCACTTAGAGCCACTTAGTACAAGGCATGCGATTCCCTCTCCTGAAGCGTAGCGTTGGACGCCTACCGGTCAGATGGACCGATCCGCTAGTAGCGTATGGACGGCAGAAACGGGAGATCATCCCTTGAGTTGTACTCTCTGGGAAGGTTTTCGTGCAGAAGTGGACTGCTATAAGTTGATGTGATGTAGAGAATTAATGATATTCTATACATACCCCATTTAGAGCCTCTTAGGACTGGGCAGGCGGCGTGGCGGGTAGAAATGTCGCCCTCTCCTGAAGGGTGCAGGTTCATCCAGTATAGTGCTGCACTCTTCACAGGAAACTTACACACATACCTCACTTGCAACCCCTCAGATACATACCCACTTAGAGCCTTTTAGTACGGGGTATGTGGTTACCTCTCCTGAAGCGTAGTATTGGACGACCACGGGTCAAGGTGGACCGGAGATCATCCCTTAAGGTGTACTCTCTGGGACGGGTTTCGTCCAGCAGTGGACTGCTATAAGTTGATGTGATGTTGTAAAGTGATGATGTTTCATACATACCCCATTTAGAGCCTCTTAGCACTGGGCAGGCGGCGTGGCGGGTAGAAATGTCCCCTTCTCCTGAAGGGTGCAGGTTCATCCAGTATAGCGCCGCGTTTTTCACTGGGAACACGCTCAGGCCGAGCTCTGTGAAGACTGTAGCGCCACCTTGCGCCACTTCCGACATCTGAAGCAATATTATTATTGGTTTTATTTTGTGAAATTTTCAGGCCCGCATTTGTTAAGAAAAGGTAGTCTATTAATTGATCTGTGTAGTATTTACATAAGGCTCAAACGCAGAGAAAGTACCTTTATATTTACGGCCTTACCACAAAAAATTAGACAAATGTTGAACGCGTGTTTAAAATAAAACTTCATCATCATTATATCAGCTATATGACGTCCACTGCTGAACATAGGCCTCCCCTAAATATTTCCACCTTGTCCGAAACTTTATATTTACAAAAAAACGCTAGTTCCACGCTTGTCTAACTTTTTTGTGGTAAAGCCCATAGGGTTTAGCCAAAGAAGAATTGAAAAATACTCACGTAAAACAAGACAGTAGCGATTCTATTTCCTTGAAACCTTTCCTTGAACGCGTTTTCGAACTTCTGGAACAAAATAAAGAAAAGTTTGGGTCAAATAATCA